GTCATTTTTTTCACTCCCATGTGAATCGCCACTTCTCCCCTCGTGATTTCATGCATTTGGGTGAGTTAGACTCACTCCTTTCTCACTTTCTCTCCGCTTCTTCACTTAGGAGCAAATCGCAATTCTTGTTTTTTATCAATCCAGTCTTTTGATGATGATTATCTCTTGGTTTGTCCTTTTCTTCACTCCCATGTGAATCGCCACTTCTTCCCTTGTGATTTCATGCATTTGGGTGAGTTAGACTCACTCCTTTCTCACTTTCTCTCCTCTTCTTCACTTCGGAGCAAATCGCAACTCTTTCCTCACTTTCTCTCCTCCTCTTCACTTAGGAACAAATCACAACTCTTGTCCATCCTTGCGCTAGTGTTTTATGATCCCTTTCACCAACTTTGCTAATTTTTCCACATTATGACATTTCGATTCATTCTTGGTTGTATTCATGAGCTTCAAGCATGTGTTTGAGCAAGTCTCACTCACATCCATGGCTCAACCCTTACATGATGATGTTCTATTGCATTCTTGGTTGTCCTCATGAGCTTCAAGCATGTGTTTGAGCAAGTCTCACTCACGTGCATGACTCAACTCTCACATGAGGACATTCCGTTTCATTCTTGGTTGTATTCATGAGCCTCAAGCATGTGTTTGAGCAAGTCTCACTCACATGCATGACTTAACTCTCACATGATGACATTCCGTTACATTCTTGGTTGTATTCATGAGCCACAATGTTACATACTATGTCACACGGGCCCGGTTAGGCCCGAGAGATAAGGGTTCGGAAGCCGGTCCAGGCCCAAGGCCGGACCTTTAGACCGGTAGCGCCATTCAGGCCCACCGGTTGGCCTTTAGGCGGACCAGACCTGACGGGCAGGCCCAAACGACATTACCGTTTGGGCCTGGCGGCGCTCTTGAGGCTGCCGCCCGCCGGTCTGATCTGAACTGCCGATCTTGACGGTTCAAGTCATGGCCAGGCCTCGCATCATTGAAGCCGGCCTTTGCCCTACCGGTACTTAGAGACCGACCGACCTCACTTACAGGCACCGAGCGACTGGACGCTGCGTGAGCACCAGCCCGTTTCGGTTCCAGAGGAGCAGTAGCGCTGCGCTATTCTCAGCGCAGCTCGGAGGTGCCGCAACAACGAGCGAGGATCCAAGCAGCGGGCAGCCATAGCCGACTTCGGTTTCGGTCAGTTGCAGCGAGCCAGGTACTCGGGGGCGAGGTCTTTCTCCTCCCTCCACAGTCACTGGCTCCCCTCCTCCTCAGCTCTCTCCTCCTCTACCATCTCTCCTTCTTCTTCTTCTTCAGACTTCTTTTTCTTCTTCTTCAGACTGGAGACTTGATACTAGTTGGACAGAGATCAGCGTTGGACTTCGGTGGTAAGAGGCTGTGGTACTTACCGGATTCGAGACTTGGAGATTGTTGGGGTTGATACTCGGCGGCATCACAGATCGGACACCGTCTACATTAGGACTCTGTACCTCCGACATTGGTGACTTATTGTCCACGACATTTTGATCTTGTTCGATGACATTTTGGACTACCATATCGGTGACCTACTGGATTCTATCTCGGTGACATTTGGTGCTGCCTACATCTCCCACCTCCTTCGTCTCTCCTCCCACCTTTCATCTATGTATGATTGTACGGGGCCCGAGCATCGTCTATGATTGGCTCAGACCCCACCATCTCACGATTGTTTGTGTGTTGAGTGATATCTGCATGAGTCAGTCTATGTGAGTTAGTCCATTTGTCCATACTTGTTGAAGTATTGACGAGTATGCAACAGTTTTGGTATCGGAGCAGACCAAATAATGGATCTGCTCACAAGGTAAGTCTGATTTAGGAATAGATTGCTTATTCGATCTTCCAAATCAGCTCTGCATTACTATCGAGATTCAAAGTTGCAATTTTTTCTTCTTCGGTATTCTGTTTAATTCGGCATTCCGTTTCAATTCGGTATTCTGACTTTCAATTTGGGATTCTGTTTTAAATGAGTATTCTGTTTAATTCGGTATTCCGATTAAGTGGTATTCTGTTTAATCCAATATTCTGTTTTAATTCAGTCTTCTGATTCTAATTCGTTATTCTGTTTAAATCAGTATTCTGTTTTAATTCGACATTCTGATTTCAAATTCGGTATTCCGTTTTTAATTCGGCATTCTGTTTTTAATTCGGTATTTTGATTTTTAAATCAGTATTCTGTTTTATTTCGGTATTGGAATTAGGGTTACGATAAATTTCGGTTTTTCGTTCAAATTGGGGAATTCGACTGTTTTGGAACCGTAAAACCGAAAATTCCGCGGAATCGCGAAAAATTAGGATTGGAAACCGAAATTTTCGCGAATTTTCCCTCGTTTGAGAAATTCCGAATACGGACTCAGGCCTTTGAAAATCGGACTTTGTAGGTTGAAATTCCCGAAATTGTAAATTTGAGTGTTTTTCTTCCTGATTATTCGGAAAAAAATAATTGGCAAACTGTTCGGAATCGTCCCCTCAGAACTGCAACTTCCGGGAAGTTCACTTATCAACGGTGAACTTCTGGACCATAGGTGATCTCAACCGATACCTCATCTTTTCACAATTTAAAATTCGTTAATTATTGATTAAATTTTATTAATTATGATTAATGGATTATTAATTCATTATTAATCATTAATTAAATTTTAATATTTTATTGATTATTAATTCATTATTATTTCTTATTACAAATTTTTAAGTTGTTTTTGGGGAAAGTTTATCCTTTTCCTTTTGATGAAGTGTCTAAGTCCATAATTGGGATAGGGAAGTTCTACCCCTGTGCCCACCCTCTCCCTCTTACTGTTTTGCGACCATTCCGACCGGCCAGCCTTCAGCAGCAGTTTCCTGATGCCAACAGGGCAAGCCACCGAACAGCAGTCACGACGCAACAAACGGATCGCAGATCTCCAACCTGCAGTTCGACAGCAGCCACAGACCAGCACATAGATGGCGACCACGCCTAACAGTGGAACATCGTCTGAGGCTTCGACATCTAGTAATACCGAACCCTTGCCGGTTTGTCCTATTCAAGGGCCGAACGAGTCCATCTCGGACTACATTCAGAGAGTGAAGACCTATACGGACTCACTAACCCTTGCCAAGGAACGGCAAGATGCTGCCGAAGCAGACAAACAAAGGCTGGCAGCAGAAGCTGCAGCCCGAGCCCAGCAACAAGCTGAGGCGGAGCAATTGGCGACCGACAAACTCAACGCCGACAGTGCCGAACTTCTGATCTTTCACCAAGATCAGTGGGCAGCGGTACTCAAAGGGATGCGTTATGTCCCCGTAGCAGGCGCCGAGCCGACGGCAGTACAGCAAGAGAGACAAAACCTGGCAGACATTCTACTATGCACGATGCGCGCAGTTATCTGGAACAGCACCATGGGTGACCTTCATTCCAGGACTACACGGCAGCTGCAGCACGATCTTACCCATAACGTGAAGACACTTGCAGCAGCCGTCAAGATAGCGGACTCCCAGCTGAAATAGATGGACACCCGCATTGTTGCTCTGGAGGCAAGGCCTTCCCAAGCAGCGCCAGGCTGCACGACAGACACGACGAAACAGCTCGGCGAGCGTATCGACCATGTCGTCAATCTAATCGGCGAACTAGGTGACTTCACCAGTCCGGCCACGATCAGCAGCACGGTGGCCGCCATCAAGACGGACATCACCAAACTGCAGTTGCAACCGGCAGCAGCTGCGAAGGTATACAAGATGCCACACTTCAATATCATCAAGTTTGACGACTACGACAAGACCGACGCTTTGACATGGTGGCAAGCCTTCCTCACCGAAGCGTCCTGCCACAAGGTCCCAGTCGAGGACATGATGAAGGCGCTATACCTCCAAATCATTGGAGGTGCGCAGGCGTGGATGAACCACCTCACGGTTAACAAGGAAACCACTATCGCCGAGCTACACAAACACGTCACGTGGGAGGATTTTGTGCAGTTGTGGAACACTCGTTTTATGGTCCGCAATGTTGTGAAGGCGGCCATGAACGAGGTCTACACTTGCTCACAAGGAAGCATGCCAACTCGAGACTGGATGATCAAGTGGCAGAAGATAGTGACCACACCAGGCTTTGATATGAGTTTCCCAAACCAACGATCCGAGTTCTTCTCGCGATCATGCGCAAGACTACGAACGGCACTCGACAACGAGTACGATTATGCCTCATTCCAGGCTATTCTGGATCATGCGAACCTGGTCATCCAAACGAACGACAAGGCCGCTAACGAGAAGCAGTCCCAGCCGCAATATGTGGCTAAGCACGACTACCAACGGCCGGCGCATAACAATGCGGTGATTCCGGATGAATCACTAGACCTCCACGCTTCAGCAGCATCCTCGGGTGATGGAGGAGTTCTTGCAGCGCTCCCGCCGAAGCGTCCCAAGAGAGTTCGAAAGAAACCGGCGACACAAGCGACGACCTCGACGGGAACTGGGCAGCAACCATTGACGACATACAACATAACCAAGGAAGTATTTGATCTTCGTCAACGGTACGGATATTGCCTTTGGTGCAATAGTATCACTCACACGACCGCACAATGCCCCGAAAAGGGCAAAGCACTCGTTCCCCGTCCAACTAACTCGGGAAACTAAGTTGCACAAGGAGAGAGGCGACGTCTCTCCTCACTCCGTCGGAACCGGTTGCCTTGCTAGCAACCGATATCACTACCGGGAAGCACGCTTTAGTCGCTGATTCTCGCGAAACTTACGAGGATTATGCCCCCCAGTTGGTGCCGCCATTGGACCAGCCTAACCACGTGCACTTAGACAACGTATGCGCAACTTGTATCGGCAAGTGGACCGGTCAGTTCGCCACTATCCGAGGACTCGACGGCGTGGTCAAGACTTGAGGAGCTTGACCCGCTCACGAGAGAGGACTTCGCTTGGATGCCTCTACCCTCGACCGGATCCTTGCCAAAGCCGCATTGCAACGCCTTGATGGCACATATACGCTCCTATTTGCACGCTACAATACCATCTCCGTTGACGGACGACGGAGTAGCGTTTGTCAATCTCCACTCCTATCTTGCGAAGATTGACCGCGAGTACGCCTCCCAAACGTACGCGGAAACCGACGCTCCTTTGCTCTACATCCGCATTCAAATCGGAAAGGGAACTTGTAGTGCCTTGATTGATTGTGGAGCGTCTCACAACTTTATGAGCCAAGCCTTTATGGCCCGCGCGTTTAAAGGAAGACGCAACCTACGCAAGTTACATTCGCGGACGGCCGCATGCAAAAGTCAATCGACCGATGCGTTGACGGCGTCCCGGTATACTTTGCACCCCTTGCGTGCGAGCCGGTGTCTTTTGACATCCTCGACACCAAGTTTGACATGATTCTAGGCATGTCTTGGTTGCGTAGCGCCGATCATCCGGTGAACTTTCATGACCGAACCGTTCACATTCGTAATCGGAACTGAGTGTTGGTCCCATGTACGGTCGCGACCCCTCATACTTCGATTGCTTGTCACGTGGTTTCCGTTGCGAGGATTCGCGACGCCATAGCTCGGAATGACGTCGAGGAGATGGGCCTTGTTTTCTTACATGCCCTCCCCTCGCCGGCCGGACCCACCTCTTAGACGGATATGGAGACGTCTTCGAGGCTCCCACCGGAACGGTTCCGGATCGGCCCATACATCACGGGATCACTCTCGAGGCTGGTGCCGTCCCTCCGCGTGGATGCATTTACCGCATGAGCGAAGAGGAACTCGAGGTGCTTCGCGCACAACTCGATGACCTTCTCGACAAGGGTTGGATTCGCCCTAGTTGTTCGCCATACGGTGCGCCCGTTCTCTTCGTCCGGAAGAAGAACAAGGACCTACAGTTGTGCATTGACTATCGAAAACTTAACGCACAAACCGTTAAGAACGCCGGCCCCCTCCCTCGGATTGATGATCTCCTCGAGCGGTTGGGCGGCGCGACGTACTTCTCGAAGTTGGACTTGAAGTCGGGTTACCACCAGATTGAAATCCAGCCTCAGGATCGGTACAAGACCGCCCTCAAAATGTGGTATGGGCATTTTGAGTGGGTTGTCATGCCATTTGGACTCACCAATGCCTCGACAACTTTCCAAGCAGCCATGGCAACGGAGTTCCGTCCTCATCTACCTCGATGATATCTTGGTCTATAGCAGGACGCTCGACGAGCACCTCGTACACCTCTGTGTGGTGTTGAAACGTTTGCGAGCAGCCAAGTACAAAGCAAACCGTGACAAGTGTGAATTCGCCAAGCGGGAGCTCGAGTACTTGGGCCATTATGTGACGCCGAAAGGCATTCGTCCCTTAGCGGACAAGATCCAAACCATCGTGGGTTGGCCGGAACCCCGTTGCACGACGGACGTACGCTCTTTCATGGGTTTGGCTGGATATTACCAGCGCTTCGTCGAGTCTTACTCCAAAGTGGCAGCTCCTTTGCCGAGACTTCAGTCCCCGAAGGTACCATTCGAGTTCGACGACGCCGCTCGTGGCGCGTCCAATACGTTGAAGGCGGCGCTGAAAGACGCACCGGCCCTCCGTATCTATGATCCCACCCTACCCACCCAAGTGACTACGGATGCTTCCGGGTACGGTATTGGTGCAGTATTGGAACAATGCCACTCGGATGGTATCAACACTCTCGACGACGCTAGGAAGAAAGAACTACTCGTGTTCGTCACCGTTCTCAAACGGTGGCGCCACTTTCTTCTCGGTCGTCGACGTTTTAGATGGAACACGGACAACAATCCGTTGACCTTCTACAAAATGCAGGACACGGTCACTAGCACGATCGGTCGATGGATGTATTACATCGACCAGTTCGACTTTGAGTCGTGCCACATTCCCGGTGTCGAGACTGGTGAGTCCCGAATGACTTCCCGTCACTCAAAAGACTCTATATGGCCAATTTGTGCACGGCAGAGAAAACCAGAGGCAAGAAGGAGGGAAGGATCGAAGGCATAGGCACATGCACTAGGAACCTAGATGCTGCCCAAAGTCGTTGGGACCATTGAACCAAGAAGAAATCGAAGGAACGGGAGGCGGCAAAGCACCGCAAGAAAATGGCGAAAGTGACCCTTCCCCCGAAAAGGAGAAGGACCGCCGGGAAGAGTAGTAACATAGGAGGTGTGCCGCAAAGAAAGGAAGGAAGCGGGAAGGAAATAGGACATAAGGCACCGACACAAGACAATGTAGCTGGGCCAGGAGGGCCATTAGGACACAGCGGCAAGAAGGGCCAAAGGGGCCACGGGCCAAGTAGGGACCCGCATCCGGAGAGGGCAGTACACGAGACGCGAGGAGGACAAGGGGAGGAGGCCTAGAGTGTCAACGGGACCGCATGAGACTAAGTAAGAATGCGGTCCCAATGGGACAAAGTGTCCGGGACCACGCGGGACTAGGCAAAGATGCGGCATCCGTGGGACAAGTGTCGGGGACCGCATGAGACTAAGTAAGAATGCGGTCCCGATGGGACAAAGTGTCGGGGACTACGCGGGATTAGGCAAAAATGTGGTACCGGTGGGACAAAATGCCCGGGACCGCGCGAGACTGAGACTAGTGTCAGGGACGAGTGTCAGGGACTAGTGTCGGGTACTAGTGCGGGACAAGCGGCAGGGACTGTGACGTCCCAAGGAAAAACTGCGGTACGACATGTGGTGCAAAAAAAAAAAAAAAAAAAAAGTTGCAACGTCAAAATCAGAGATCTTGACGGCCAAAAATATTACCACCACTAGTGCAAGCACTAGTAGGAGCAAGGGGGAAGGCCAAAAGCAAAATAAAAAGTAAAGAAAACAAGTGCTAGAGGCATGGGAGCAATCCGAAAAATATCGGATTGGCCTCCCCCAAGAAAATGGGGCCAAAAGAGCCAATATGAGAAAAACGTGACCCCGGGAGAAAATTGGTGCATAGGGGCCTACCGTTTGGGAGGGGGAGAGGCAAACGGTGGCTCCCAAGGGCATGGAAGAGCCACAACTGCAGTCCGAGAAAAAACGGACTGACCCTTGGGCATAGGGAGGGCCAAAACTAAGAGGAAGAGGCAAGAAAAAGGCCTTAACGGCTAGTTGACACTTGGCATGCAAAAGGAAAAAGAAAAGAAAAAGAAAATGGGAAGTGAGAGAGGATGAGTGAGTTGGCCGTCAGTTGGGACTGCAGCAGGTAGGGACTGACAAGTCCCAACTGTCCACAAGTGGAGGAAAA